GGAAAGAAAGAAAAAATCCCTGATGATGGGTCCTGCATTGGCACTATTAGTGATGATTCTGACATTGTTACACTTGAGGCTCCAAAACCAGAAGAAACTCAAAGTCAGGAGGAGGCTCCAGCTGATGGTGAAGAAGCTCAGAGTTCAGAGGATTTTAACATGGGTTCCTCCTCCAGCAGTCAATATGCGTTTTCCAATCTAGAAACTGGTAAGAGCAATAAATTACTTAGCAGCTGTGTCCAAAAATGTCACTGGGGAAAAAAGAAGTATCTTTGCTTTAGGGAACCGTCTTTATGTGGAGAGGGGAAAAAAAAAAATTGGTCTTGTTGAGTACCTGTCCAAGTACTTGCAGCCTCTAGGACAACTCTAGTTGCAGTAACTCCAAAACTTTGTCCAAATATATGTCCGCAATCTTTATTTCATTTGAGCGTTCTCTCTCATTACGTGTTCACTATTTTAAATAGAAAGTAAATTTCTAGCATATTTTGGGGAATTAAAATGACTTTTGGCTCATAGAATAATTGTAGGTTTTCTCTTGACAACTTTTTTTGCTTTTATAGAGTTGGCATAAATACCTAGCAGCAGGGAGAGAATTGATTTTTGGGGCCATGAGGACTAATGGCAGCATGACTACTGCTTACTTTCATATTTACGTAGCATATATATATATATTTTTTTTTTAAGATACTGACAGTACTTGGCAGAAATTGCAACCCATGATATTTAGGAGGAAGGATATGAATATTTGGCCTATTAAAAACAAACAAACAAAACCCCAACAAGCCAAACAAAGAAGCTTACTGTTGCGTTATTCTTCTCTAGTTCTCTAGTCTTCCCTTTTAATTCTGTTTGGCTGCTTATTTGTAATCTTTTCTGTTCTGTGTATTCTCTACAACACTTTTGTGTTACTGATTTTTACCTTTCAGAGTGAGTTTACTACAAGAACAGGATTTTTCTTAAAATACCATTTTATCTTAGAAGTATAATAAAGCATCATTAAAAGTTTGTGTATCTATATAGTATCCATTGGAATCGGAAGATGACAGCTTAGCATCTAATTATGACCAGTGATGATTCGTAACAAAGCTGTCACCTTCTTTAAGTCTTCTGTATGATTTGACTTAATTTTTAATTTAAAATTTAGTTGACTCTCTTTTTTCTTTTAGGACTGAGTTCTAAAAAATCGTTTGTTTTTCCCCCCCTTTCCCCCATGTTTTTGTATACAAAAGTCAGTTGGCTGGAGAAGCTGAGGAAGATTCCCGATTGTGTAAGGGGATGGGGCAATGAGGTGAAAGAGCATGTGTCTCGCAGTCTTCCTTTCCAAGGTGGTGTGATTAAACTTCATCAGCTTATGTAAAGCTGATTGCTTATGGTGTGCATGGAGTGTTCTTAAAATTATGAGTAATCATAATTAGCAATCAGAGCAATCTGACTTGATCTTATAGTAGTGATATTCCAAGAGTTTGAAGAGTTTGGCTAAGCTATCAGTGTTTTATTTGTTTTTTTTGAAAAATGTTAAGCTTTCATGTAAATTTGGAATGGGCATCAGTAAGCTCTGTAATACATTTTAATATGTATGCTTGACCACTTAAATGAATGGTTCTTGTTGGATTCCAAATCTATGTGTGACTGGCAAGAATTTCTTCCTTCTAACTTAAGCTGATTTCAGCATGGTCTTTGGTGCTGCTCATTTGATGGACCAAGTATTCTAGAAAATGTCTGGAGTACTTCTGCATTTATTTTAAATGCCAAAGTTCTAGCAATCAAAATTTTCATGCCACTTGTTGGCAATGGAAATCTTTGCCATCCATTTCTTGTTGAGTTTTCTGTTATCTTGGAAAATGATGAGCTTCAGATTTTCCTAATGTAGATACTGAAATGTTCTACAAGAATTTTCTGCCATTTTTACTTACAAGCCAATTCGTGTTCAGGCTGTTTTCATCATGTAAACAGAAATGTTTTAATATTGCTTCATGAATGAAGTTAACTAGCAGAAGCGCTCCTATAACTTGAAATAAACTGCATCTAGGCTTGAGATGTGTCTGTGCAGAAACGTCAAAGAACATCACATTCTTAACTGACATTGTTACTTCCTGTGGTTACTAGTGTAGATCTGACATTTCAAAATCATAGCAGAAGCTAGAATTTTAGTCTGCCACTGTGGTGTCACTTTGTTTCGTTTACACTCCTTTTCATCTTATGAATGTTAGAGTACAGCTTTATACTGAATTCTTACAGCAGCTGTAAAGAATTTCCCATTTGGCTAGAAGCAGCTTGTTCCTTAACCACTTTTGTATTCCATACGTGCAAGCTTCTTTGGCTGTTGAAAAAACCCTAAAAATACCAAATAAGCAATAATAACACCTGTCTTACTCCGTATGTCGTGTATAATTCTTTATAATGTCTGACCTCTGCATTCTAGTAAAAATATCTCTCTCCTGACTCATTTCTGAATGCTTGTCTGTTGTCCAGGACTGGGGAAGCAAGGATCTCTTTAAATGACTGATTGTAAAACAGTGTCCTTTTCTGTCAGGCTATATAAATTCATTTAAGAATCTGCATGTCAAGTAGCTGTTTAAGTGATTTGTCTTTATTGCAATGCCTGCTTGGTCAGTCTGGTTTGACTAATTGACTAAAATGGATATTTTTTTTTTTTTTTTAGTAAAAGGGGAAGTTATCTTTCATTTTCTGACCTGTTGCTTGTCCATGGAGTCAGAAATTAGACATGTATTCCAGATACTAATTGGTAATCTTTTCTGGGGTTGATGCAATCACTTCTATTAAGTTGGAATTTATTTTCAGTGAAGAAACCATTACCAGTTAAGATTCTATAGATAATGGCTAGCACTGCTTGGAAGTCTTGTCTGTTCAGTGATGTGTGCATGGCTTTGTGCAAACGAATGATTTTCAGTTGTGAAATGTTCAAGGATAGTAACTCTGTATTTATTTCTTTTACATTTGAGTGATCTCTGATAGGAGAATGAAAAACTGTATTTCTAGAAGGGGTGTTAGCATTGTGTAATTGTGGGCATCAGATTTAGAACTATCCAAGCAGGAGCACACTGTCATGTGCTGGAGGCTTCATTGATCACATGGACTCTATTTTGGGCATGTGAATTAGGTACATGACTGTAGATATTTGAAAGCTTCTTTTTTACCCTGCAACTGCTTCCCATTGATATTTGCCTTAAGCTTGAAAATGATGCTTTCAAGGGAGGGAGATTAAATAATCACTACTTACGTACTGGATTATATAAATTTATTTACAGTACATGCAGCAAGCATGTGTACCACTAATAGCAACAAGCAGTTACAGGTCTGTTATTTTCTCCGTTAGAATGTATGGCTTTTGGGCCATAGGAACATGAACATACAAATGGTATCATAAATACAATTTTACAAAAATGCTATAAAAGGTATTTTTTATGGTTAGAATTTGTTCTTATCTCAAATCTTGGCTGATTCAATCTTCTGAAACGTCAGTCAGGCAATAGGAGCATTTTGGATTTCAGAGTGTTAGGGAAGGATGAATACCGAAGCACCCAAGTGGTTCTTTTCCTGTGCAGTAGTGGTTGAAAATGCCTTTTTTGAAAGGTGGGTAAAGATGTTGATAGATAGTGTATGGTAGATATTAAAAGTAAACAAAATTACGTATTTAAACAAATTTGCAATGCAATTTTGTTTGGATATCTATCATACCTGCAGTAATGGAATTTTGTCTGCAGCTGCATGTAGATCACAGAATGAAGTTTTTTGAGAGAATATAGTAAAACCATGCCTATCTGTTAGGAGACTTTCTTTTAGCACACCTTTCTGTTGCTTTCATTATTAAATAGTTCAGTCTCGATATCTCTGAGAGAAGGAAGACTGAATTCTTAACCTTTCTATGTTACAAGTGTTTGTAGAGGCAGTACATGTAAGTGCTTTAAGAAGCAGAGTTTTCTGAAAGAAACACTTTTCAGTGAGCAAATGATAACGTGTGGGGAAGTCCTGTACAGTTTTTTTTGATGATTTCACGATTCTCTATGTTTTCCTTTTAAAAAGAAGTATTTTTTTTAACTTTGGAGATCAAGCATTCCTTGCATAATAACTAGCAGAAAGTACCACATTGAGAATTTTTATTTTGTTTTATTAATGTTCTCTAAGAAAAATGGCAAATACATTTTGCATAAATATGATGAATTTTGGTCCTCAAATGGATTTTTAAAGCAACAATTAATGCATTTTTAAAGACTGTTCTATGTTGGTTTTCAGTTTTTCCATCTCAGGCTAGCAATGATGAATCAAGTAGTGATGAAACTAGCAATCGGTCCAGTCCCACAGTACGGAAACGTCGGGCTAAGAAGAGGCTGATCTCTAGCTCTGAGGCTGAGGGGGCGTTACCTGCTGAAACGGAGTCTGAACCTCCCAGAGAAGAGCAGCATAAATGCCAGTTCAGTAGTGGCCTGAACAGATGCATCATACTAGCTTTGGTGATTGCAATCAGCATGGGGTTTGGACACTTCTATGGTGAGTTTATAGGAAACAAAATACATAGAATCAACGTCTTGCGTAACAAATACCACTTGGTTGTGACTCGCAATTTTTTTTTACTTGTTCTCTGCTAATAATCAAAACCTAAAAATGAGAAAAAGCAACTGCTAGTGTATGGATAATATAGGGAGGCACTTCAGTGGTGCAATTGTATTTAATATACGCTACTTTAAAATTAAACAGAAAAAAATAAATTTTTGGTTGCCCATCTAGACAGAAATTTCTTCTTGTTCTCATAATGCAGTATGTATTCTTCATTTTTCACATCTTTTCTTTTGAAATAAGTTTGTGGTGGTGCTTATCATTCCTAACAGCATTCAAAGACTTACTTCAGGATTTTGTCCCATATGTACTCATCTGGTAAATGTAAGAGCAAGGCATATTTTTACAGTTTATAGTATCAGTGTTTTTCTCTCTCCAGTGGAGAAAAATATGCTGTAGTTGTCCTTGCAATTGCAGAATGGTTTAGGGAATCCAGGGTAGCAGCAATTTTTCTGTGTTTAGTGCATTTTTTGAAGTTAAGCATTACACCGATTGTTACTACATTTAATAAAACAGCAGAACTCATGACAGATCTAATTGGACTACTTAGTCCAATCCTGTTATAATAAAAATGATAGAGGGCATTTATATGAAAATGTGCCTTTATTAGAAGACTTGTGATTCAACTTGAGACTGGGAATATGATTCTAATTGGATTTGATTTTGAATAATTGTTAGGGGTCTAAATTTTGACATTTATTTGGGGATTTTTACTAATTTTCACTCAACCCTGATTTTTTTGTTGTTGTTCTTAGGTAAACCTGAAGGTAAGTGTCATGAGTGATGTATTGTAGATGTTGTGCTTGCATTAGATTTACTTATGAAATTGTGTGTGTACGTGTACACACACATCCATATATGTATGCATGCTTATAATAAATAAAAAAAATCAAGTCTTAAGAATTACTAGTGTGTATGGAATTATAGGAATGACTAATCCAGTTGTGTAAAATACTTTCTATTTAGCAACTGCAGCTAATAGTAGCTGGTGTAAAAACTGATGGATGTATACCAGCACACTAGAAGCAGAGAGGAACACAATGGCTAGACTAGTTTTTGATAGTGATTCATGATGAGAACTTGAGGTTTCACTTCTGTTAATCATTAAATTGGGGTTAATGATAAATACTATAATTTTAAACAACTTTGAGATCTGTGGATGAGAAGTACATTTTGGAAATGTACTCAGGGTCATATCTTTATTAAGGGATTCGCTTTGACTTGTTCTGTACTTCTGAACAAAAATTGTCACTGATCACAGTGGTGACAGCATTCTCAGCAGAAAGAAGACTTTTTAGTTTTTACTTCTTAAGTGAAAGTTCTTCATGGTTATGTGATAACTAATCTTTCTACCAATAGAAAGGAAATGAAACTCTGCTTTCCATTTTCCTGGTTTTTGTTTGGAGTTTGTTTTTTTTTTTTTTAAACACAAACTTGAAAAGAGAAATCCATCTCCCTAAAAGACTATTTTGCATTTTTGTGATTCATCTTGGAATGAGTATTTTCCACAGCAGTTTTTTAATGCTAGGCTAATTGTTGTGTAAGAGGATTGGAAAGGGTTACTTTGGGGGGAAGGGAGGCAGTATCAGGATAGTGTTCTCCTTTTAACTAGAGCTCCAGGATCCCTTTAAGATTTCTAAAGATGTAGAAAGCAACTAGCATTAGGTTTCAATCAATAGCTGTATCCTAATCAGTATTAAGCTGAGATAGCTGCTCTATGATGCTCTAGGGAGATATGAAAGGAGGGCAAGCTTTCCAGGAAAAAGGTGACTGGAAAAGGTAAAGTTAGGAAGCCCTTTCCCGAAGAGTGTCTCCTTATAGACATTCAGATTTTTTTTTTTCTTTAACCAGAATCTGCAAAAAGGAATATTGCTATAATGCTAGGGATTTGGATAGGTTACTTAAAGAATCTGAAGGATACTGTGACTTGAGTACCATGTGGAAACACAAACCAATTACTGAGGGAATGGTACCTCATTATATCCATTTTCAGTGTCTTTGCTACCCTTTCTATGTTGCTAAATGTAATTTTTGCTTACTGTATCTAAATTAGGATTCTTGATAAGGAGAGAAGCAGAGTTTGAGTGTTTTTCTGTAATTCAGGTTCCTCTTAACGTGAACCCTTCACAGTAAATGATGATTTGTCTGATGCAGTTTTCAGATTCTTAGGATCAATGGACTTTTTCGAAAGTATCTATAAAACATAAATATGAAAAACAAATTTACTGTCAGTATACTTAAATTCACTTAATCATGGATCTGTGCTTCCAACAAGTGTTTATTAGGACTCTGCAAACTTAAAATCATTGCTGTGTTGAACTGTTGCGGTTCAACTTGGTTTAATAGAGTACTGTCTGGTGTTAAGTTCATACTTGACCATACATAAAATAGAAATTAAGAGAGCACAAAAAATTCCTCAATGTAATAGTACTTATAGAATTTCTTCTGCTTAATAATACACTGCCCCCCCCTTAAATACAGAAATAGAATTCTGCATATGCTTCATTGGTTTTGAAAGAAATACCTAAAACTTGCTGTTGCCATCTGCTGTAAAGTCAATTCAAGAGACTCTTAAAAGCAAAGAAATAAAAACTACATCAGCGATAGGATTTACTGAACATGTGTATAGGTAGGGAACTACCAGTAAAGTTTTACTTGACAGAAGAAATTGGTGTCTAGTACAATTAAGATACTTTTTTCAGAAAAATAGTGTCTCAGCCTTTATCTGACAATTGAAAGACAGAATATTTGCTTACTCTTCAGCCTTCACTCACGGATAAGAATGACAAGATAGGGCCTGCAAATACTTGCTGCTTTGTTAGAAGTGTGTAGTAATTGTGTTTCTGCATGAAAGTTTAAATACTGTGCTAATATCCTCTTTTTCATATAACTTTACGTAACAGTACAAGTTGTACTTCTGAAATGGATAATGCATGGACTAAAGATCTCCCTTTTATCCTAATTGGCTTGCATGTTACTAAAAAAAAGACCAAAAAAATCACACACATCCTTTCCTGCATAACTTCTGTTGTTTTGTATCTGACGTATTTCTATATAGCGTTCCAAAACTCCTTCATTTGTTATCATCAGATAAAAGACAGTGTAATAGAGAATTTTTGGGTGTCTCTGAGAAATTGTTCATTAGTGGAAGAAACAGAATTAGTATGTAACGATCTGGTTTTATAATCTTTATTTTGTTGCAGCTAAAGAGTTACTAGTAAGTACTTGAAGAAATTGCAAGGTAAGAATGCCTTTGAATTTGCAGAGAAAATGAAGATCATGTTTAAGTGTGTCTGTTCGTCTACCTACTTAATGTAAGTCAGACTACCAAAAGAAAGTTCTTTGTCTTTGTAGGTACAGTACAGTTCCAGAAACGTCAGCAGCTGGTGACAAAGATACGTGAATTAAAGGATATGAAAGATGACCTTTACCAGTGCCAACAAGAGCAAGGAGATAAAGTGCATCATGAAGTGGGGGTAGGTATGAGTTTAGCTGGAAGTCATGGTGTTATTCTGTCATTATGTGTGTAACTTACACAAAGTGAAATTAATTCATCGCACAGATCCATTACATTTTTTTTCTTTAGTAAGTTCTTTCTGAGAATGTCAAGAATTCAGGGGAAAGAAGAACGACAAAGTTTTTGTATTTTGATCAAATGTGTTATTGGAATGTGTTTAAACATGCTATTTTTTATGTGTGTAGTCTAGGAGTTACCTGGACACAGAGACTGTCTCTTTCCGTATGACATAATGCCAGGTTGTCATTAATGAAGACAGCTGAAGTAGTACGCGCTGGTAAAAACCTATTTTAGATTGAACCTACAGGTTTTGTGAATTTGCTTTCTGAATTGTCAATGATTATTAATCTTTTAAATACTTAACTTGTACTTTTAAGTTTTTTTTACTGTTAGATCATTCAGATTAGGGAGTGCTTTGTGTGTGCACGTGTCTTCTTAAAAAAAATTTTTTTAAAGTTGCTGATAGCATTTATACAGAATTCAATATGTTTAGTTTTGGAGTTTGTCAAGGATGCCAGGAGACTGGGGAGATACTTTTGTGTTAGGATATAGTTACACAAACATGTATTTTCAGCAGCAAATTTGGTTCAAAATCAGTTCCTGAATTTCTGGCCCAACTGCTGAATGCCCTTGCTTCTGCTTATGTATTTGGCTTTCTAGTCTGTAAACCCAGTTTGCGGAACGTGTCAACAGCAAGGATGCACATCTTCATTTCCTTTTAAGATGTATCAATTCATGTACCCAGGTTACTATCCTTCAGCTAGTTAAACCAATACAAGCAAGGGGTAATGACCTCTGGTTGGAAGGTGGAGCCTCTCCCATGGTCTTTGTTGCCAAGAAAGTGTTTGTGTGTATATCTGAGATAAACTAGCTCTATTTTTGGATCTTGCTGCACATGTGTCACTGCATCCAAAATGACAAGTAAACTTTGTCTGGGCTTGGTCTTTCATCTTTCTAGCTGAAAGTGTAACAATTCTAATTGTAGTATATTTGCTTGTTTTCTTTTTGTTTGTATTAGTCACTCAAGGGAGATCTTGCCACATGTTTGACCTCTACTGAGGTGGAGAAGAAATCCTTTGAATCTCAAAAAAAAAGTCTTGCTGCAGAAAATCAGCACTTAAGAGAATCTCTAGAGAAGGAAGAAAAAGCTTTGGCCTCACTTCAGGAAGAATTAAGGAAGCTAAGACAACAAATTAGAAACTTAGAAGATAAAGGAACTAGCACTGAATCTATTGTAATGGAAAATCAGAAACTAAGGGAACATTTGGAAGAGGAAAAGCAAAGAAACCACAACTTTCTTAGGCAAAAGGAAACACTCTTTGCAGAGGCGCAGATGTTAAGGAGAGAACTAGACAAAGAACGTCATGTTACAGAAGCTCTAAAAAAAGAACTGGAACAGTTAAGTTCTCGTCAAACACCTGACAGTGCTAATGATGATACATTAAGAGAAAATCAAGAAATAGAAAGTCTGCGAGGAAGACTAGTAGAACTAGAAAAAAAGCTAAACTTTGAGCAACAGCGCTCTGACTTATGGGAGAAGCTGTATGTGGAAGCGAAAGACCAAACTGAAAAACAAGAAGTCAATGAAAAGGGACAAAAGAAAGGTGTTAAAGGGCAAAGTAAGACTAAAAAGAAGTCAAAGGAATCATTTTTTGGTTCAGTTAAAGAAACTTTTGATGCTATGAAGAATTCCACAAAAGAGTTTGTAAGACACCATAAAGAAAAGATTAAGCAGGCTAAAGAAGCAGTGAAAGAAAACCTGAAAAAATTCTCTGATTCTGTAAAGTCTACATTCAGACACTTCAAAGATACCACAAAAAACATCTTTGATGAAAAGGAGAAGAAGTCAAATGATAAAAGACACGAGGCAAACAAGAAAGCTCGAACTTTTTACCGAGAACAAAACTCTTACGAGAATCTGAAACACATGCATTACAGGGGACCTAACATGCCAAAAGAATTCAAACATGGAAGAAAACATCAGTTTACAGCATTTGAAAAAGATACAGATTCACCGAAATGTCTCGATGATACTTTGTGTAATAGAAAACAACAGTTTGTCCTAAAGGGCTGCTCTGGTATTTTTGAATGTGCTCATCAAGAATTCATTAGTCTCTTTAACAGAGTATCAGATCCTATCAGGGTGGATGAATTTAATCGGCTAATGAAAAGGTATTTGCAGCAAGTGGTACATAACTTTCATCACTGGAGAGAACTAGAAAATTTCATCGAAAAGTTTTTTCATGATGGGGTATTTATACATGACCAGATGCTGTTTACTGATTTTGTTAATGATGTCAAGGATTACCTGGAAGATATGAAGGAATACCAAAATAATAATGAAAATATTTTTGAGGATTTGGACAAATACATCTATAGATACTACTTTCATTATGATAATTCACCCCAATATGGACCCAGGTTTGTTTCAGTTTCCTGAACTTGTTAACAAAATGAAGTAGTCTTTGTAAAGACAACTAGTGTCCTTGTTCTAATAGGTGATCTTCTAGCATGTATGTATGTATGTGTGTGTATATATATCTACATGCTAGAAGACTATCTGAAGGGCTCAGTGGAAACACTAGACCGTGTTATATAAAGTGGCTCTGTAGTACCTTATATACATTTTGTGTCTGTGTATGATGTTAGTTTGGGAGTACAATCTAATATTTTTACTGAGTTCTTTAGAAAACTGTGTTTAACTGCGATGACTTTAGACTGAACAGCTATGGTTGCCTGTTTGATGGCATGAATAACCACCTCAGAAGAAGCATTAACTAGGACTTCCTTGTTGTCCTTCCCTGAATGAGGTTTTTGGATATATTTGGTCAGTCTCTAAGTCCTGTTCTGGCAGGTATATTCCCTGCTAGCTTTTCAGGAATTTCACTATTCTATTGCAGCTTAGTCAGTCTGTATTCCCAGAGTAGAGCTACTCAAATGGCAGGCTTTAGTTCAGGTCCTGACCCTGGCTGAATTTGTTCAGACTTGCTTACAAAGGTCCTTGGCGTGAATTGTTTCCTACGTTACTTTCTTGCATCTAACGGTATTCTCAGGGCTTCTACAGAGCAGTTGTGATATGCTGCCTGGCTGGCCCAGTGGAGCTAGATACGGGTTCTACTGCAGAGACTTTGGTGAAAGAAAAATAAGCAAGCAGCCTTAATGTATTGTGTGAAACTTGCTCTTTTTGGAATACTTATGTATATATTTTATGTGGCTTTTAGTATCATTGCTATTACAAAATTGGCTATATAGTCTCTTGTGCTAATGTTTATTCTGATCAGGTAAGAAAAAGTGAGATATATTAACCGGTTTATAATACACAAGAAGTTGTCCTTGCAGCCATAATAGAATTTTTCCCTGTGCTGGTATTCAGTGCAAAGCATATTTTTACATCAAGGTGCAGTTCTTCAGTCAGGTTTCTCTGTGGGACTTGTATTGTTTGTATGTGTTTTATTGCAGCAGGAAGTCTGAATACTTCACTACTTTGGGGTTACTAAATAGTATGTGAGGTAGTACTTTTAATAAGAAAAAGATGAACGACAAGGATGATACTCCTATATCAGCTACCAAGTAGCCTTTTTAATGTGTAGTTTTGGCAAACTCATGTCATGAGTTTTGTGGTTTTATTTATATTCTAAGTACTTCTTACTAATTCATTATTAAAATGAACTTTAATTTTTAATTAATTTAAATACTTAATTTTTGAGCACCTTAATTCAGTTTGTAGACAAACAGAATTTCATATTCATTTACTCCTAGTACTATACAGAATTTTTTGTGATACTGATGATGAAAATAGCCTTAGCTTAGCAGAAGGTAGAGATGCTAGTCATATGGTAACAGCATGTAGTGTAATGGGACTGCTTGCATCAAAAACTGCAACAAGTGAGCAACTGTGTTTTGTCAGTGCCCCCTCTCTCTTTGTAAATGTACTTAACTGTACATGAAAACCTCTGAAGTGCCCATGGTTACACAAGGCATGCTTTCCTAAGGGCCTGTAAAGTTTTCATTATTTTTATAGAGCCAAAAGTAATAGAATAACTGAAAAATAGATTGAGACCTCACTCAAGCATCACAGTAGGGATAATCAAACAGCTGTTTACCTGGCTTTATTCTAAAAAGAACTTTGGATAACCAGCTGCAGAGAACTTTATTTTTAGAAAGGATTTATTTTATATATACCATCTTATGAGTGATTTAAACAAAGAATACCTCCCCCCTCCCTTTTGCTTACAAGAGAAAGGACTACTTAATACTACTTTTTTTTTTGGTCAACCTCAGCACGTTAGAAGTTGTTCATGACAATATAATTGTGTTTCAAAATGCTTTTAGAGATTCTTTTGTAAAAGTAGTAACAAGCTTTTGTTTACTCCTTGCAGTCGACCTAAAAGGCCACCTTTTACACAAACTGAAAATTCCAGACATGAAAAACAAGCTCAGAAGTACCACCACCGTAATAAAAGAGAAGGTAAATGGCATAAACATGGTCGCACTAATGGAAGACACATGGCAAATCTTGAAATAGAATTGGGGCAATTACCCTTTGATCCAAAATATTGAGTAATTTATGGTAAAATAAGATTAGAATTAATAATTCACATCCTCTCCAGAAATTTTTCAACAAAGCAGCAAGATGCAAGTTTTTTCTCTAAATAATTTGATTTTTACACATTTTTGTTAAAAGGCAGAAGTCAAGCTTTCTAATTTGCATATTCTGTACTGTTGCTTTAACTGTTCTTCAGAAGTGATGATAGTTTGGGTGCCAGCAGTATTGTTGCAGAAACTAGGCATGCAATGACTTGTGTATGAAAAATATGCTTAACTGCATTCTGTTCACATACTTCAAGCTTGAGTCATGCATAATGTACCAATAATTAACACCAGTGGTTGATATAATAACTTCATCTCATCCTTCAAAAAAATAGGTCTACATTATGGTAATGTGTTAAGTGTTTTGTAATCTTACACTTCCTTCTTGTCTTGGGGGGGGGCATTCAAGAGCCTGTTGAATTGTGAAGAATTTGCTGTACTGCATTCTAATCAGCTTGCTGATTTAAGCACTTGAAATGTCTTGCATATCTGCATATTGTAGAAGAAAAATAAAGAGACATTGTGGGTAAAAGTCTTTATTTGTAAAACAAACTATCATAGCTGTACAGTTCTATAAAAATGGTCCAGTCTTGTCTAATTTCTTATTCTTTAAGTAGTCATATGGTAACTTTGGTCTTCCTGATGTTTTCTAGGGTTGTAAGGTAGGTCAGCACCCCCACCCTTCCATACTGCTACTGAAGCTGCATTCAGGAAAAGGTTTATGTGTTTCCAGACAGCCAGTGGCTGCCTCATCAGACTTCCCCATTTGACTTACCGAGTTTCAGGCTCACTACTCTCTCCTTTCTGCAGTACAAGATCTTCTAAGCATTGTACTGCTGTGCAAAACCAATCTCATTAGGTCTTAAGTCCAGAAACTGATCTTCAGGTATGATTAATTTTGTTTTTTCTCCTGTAGACGTAGATGTGGCTTCCAATTCGTCCTTGAGGTACATGAGTGTGAAAGACAGTGGCTGTTTTCTCATAGTTCCTTAAAGCTAGAAATGATGTTATTTCCTGTAAATGAACATACATTAGTTTCCACAGTCAGAAAGTGTAGTTGAGAGCATCAGAACAGTGTTCCAAAGTCTTCCGAAAACCATCAGTTAAACTGTCCCCTGGAAGTTTTATCCTTTATTTTAGGAAAGACTGCTAGAAGAAGAGGTACCTATCTTGTTTCATCCTGTCTGGAGTGGATATTCACCATACACCATTGTTTGAGTGCATGGACTTTCAAAAACAATTGAGGGGAAGAGGTACTCTGAGTGCAGGCATTTTTGCTTGTCGTTGTTGCTGTCTTAAAAGTGTATGGTTCTGAGAACAGACCATACATTTGTTTTAATACAGGTTGAGGGGAATTCCATAAAACATTACTTTATGGCATGCAGAATTTGCACAGAGGAGAGGGCATACATGAATGTTAAGTATATATCACTGGAATGGTACCCATGCTATATTATGGACTAGAGGGTTGAATTTTAATTTAAGCTGTGTTTTTAAAAAGTTGTGGACAATAGTTTTCAAAAATCTTAACTGTAACTCTGCCCTAATTTATTATGTAACTTGACCTCAAAACTAGTTGGTTTCATCTTGCAGTTAACATACCTGTTCTAGCACACTGAAGAAGATCAAGTGGCTGGGTAATAACGTGTCATTGTAGAACTCCTTATTAAGCCAGCCAAGTGGATTAGAGTAAAATACATCTGCTTCATCAGTATAGCTCTCATTTCCGGTTAGGTCTGGGGGACACTGAAGGAATCTCATTTTTAGAGGACAGTGAACATGACTAAGGGGAAAAAAACCAAAACAAACACTTCAGGATAAACTGACCAATATCTAAGATTTGAAATGACTCATCACACTTAAGAGACTTCAGGCAAAACCAAAATTGAATAATCAAGTGTTTTCCCCCAGAGTCATATTTTCTTCCCTTCTGTACTTCATACGAAAGCAAAAGTAGAATAAGGGGATTCAGCTCCAAACTGCCGTGACTATCTAAAGAAAGCAGATTTATCTTAATAAAAATACCATCTGCATAACATCAGTTTCTTAAAAAGGTAATTTTCCGTATCAGCTTCACTGTTTATATCTGCTTTAACATTTTGTTTACTTGCCAGGGTCTACTGCAAACTTTATAGAATAGTGACTTCAGTCATTGTATGTTGTAATTACATTTTTTCCACTCTCTAGCAGCAGAAGTAAAGGTAAAATTAATATGTTTTGACTGTAACAATTAGTCTTTCGTTTTGCTACAAAAGTTACCACAAAGAAGCAGTATGACACTTTCAGAAGTCCTAAGACTTACTGCATATCCTCACAGAAAGCTATTTTACAAAAACTGACTAAAGCTTAGATGCTGAATTTTATTCTGTGGTATAAGCATTTGGCTTATTTCCCCTATTCATTCTGTATTAACTGTATGAAAAAATCAAAACTCTTCCTGTATACTCTTATCAATCTCAATTTATTAAGCTTAGCAAAAATAAATAAATCGTCATTTCTGCTTAAGTGTATGGATTTAATATTGTTAACTATTTTAATACCTGTAAAATGGAGTAGAGTGGCACGGCATCATGATGAAGACAAAAGCTTGTGACTGGTAAGAGTTATTACAGAGTTGCTGTATGTGACTCATAACATCAAGAGAGCCTCGCTGGTGAATCAAGCCTGTATACAGGGCTGGGAGTAAGTTTGATAAAAGCAGGAAACTTGCTGCAGATTTCTTCCATGCTTTCAGGTGTTTCAAAGAATATCCTAGAGAAACATTTCAGTAAGTTTTAGAAATAAGCAAATACTAACAGTTCCATGCAGTATTTTTGAAAGTACCATAACTTACTGGAAAACCGTTACTCAGTTGGTAACAATACCTTGCTTTGAGGTATTTATTCTCTGAATTAGACTTTACCCTTATTAATTCTTGGATTTAACAGTGTAATTGTTAAGCCCATACCTGTCTTTTCAGGTACAGAAGTACGATTTCAAAGCCAGTGCTTTGTCTCTTTAGAGCTTAATTTTAATTTATTGTGGGCGGGGGGGAAATAGTCCGTTCAGCAGTTTGGCTGAATGATATGTGGCAACTTACTGATGTGTTCTGATTCATGCATGTCCAAGTAGAGACAGAATAAATGGTAACTACATGTTTTTTGGTATGGCTGTGGTTTTCTTTTTCTCCAACATGCTGAAAGCTACAGCATTCCCTTATTGTTATTAATTTTTGAGCTACTATACCTGAAACAGCTTACTCCTCCATCTTTTCCCATCTCCCATACTTGGTTCCCCCCCTCCCTTTCCTTGAGGGAGCTAATAATAGGAAGAGACATTTCTCCTGGTGGGAGACAGTTGTATAAACCTGTTTCTCACAACCACACCTTAGATGAACCTAGCACAGAAGACAGCTGCATGTTGCAGCCAGTCTGGAAACACTTAAGTCATGTCCTTGTCATTATTTGGAGATAAAAATATTTTATGCAGCCTAGCTCTGTGACCACCTTTACTGAGTCAAAAGAAACAAGTTAGAATAGGCCTGTTTCAGATGTCAATAACAAGGAAGTTAAATTAGTCTTCAGTTGGTCCGTTCTGACAAATTGCAGATCTTTATCTCAGATGAAAACAAAGTCCACTAATTAGTCTGTGGTTTAAAAATGAGTGGTAACATTCTCTTATAGGCATTTTTTTACTGCTTTTGTGAAATGCTCTTAGCTTATCTCTAAGTGTCCTTGGAAATTACTTTGAAATTTGGGGTTTGAAATGTGGGGTTTTTTGGCTTTTATTTATAATGTTTTGAGCAATTTAAAGACCTCTTTGTAACTACTGACTTATCAGATTTAACTTTTATCAGTTTTTTTCTTTACTGACGTATCCAAGCAGATGATGATTAGCTCTTGGTAAATTGCAGAGATGACCTAATTCCCTTAGAGACATGGAAGTTAAGAGGGATATTAACAAAAAATAATGTTCTGGTTGGAATTTTTCTGCATGTGAGGTAGAACTGGTTCATTGTAAATCTGCTATTGAACTGAGCCAAGATGTATTACATATTTGATCTCAGCAAAGAGCAAATTATTGAAATAAGATTTACTTGTTTACACTAGCAAAACAGGTCTCTCTTTAGGTGAAAATTATATACAGGGAAGGTTGCAAGACATTTGAAACCAATGCTTACCACAAAAAAACATGCAAAATGGCAGTACTGGATAGATGAACCTGAATTCTTTATGGCTCAGCGTGCTGTAATAAAACAGATAGACTACTACAGTGAAAGTTAAATGCATCAGTTCTGTTGACAAAATACGTTCTATAGCGTGGGAGACTGGAAGAAAAGCACTTGCATGTACTAAAAAGCTTTTGGCATTGAAGAAATTTAGAGTAAAAATGTAAATTGTCACTTTTAAAAAACACAATGAGTACATTAGAATTAGATTATTTGGTCAGTTTAAACCAATGAAAATACCTGACTACTGCTCTAGCAATGAAACGGTCTGATTTTATGCCTACTAGGTATAACTTAGCTAGTACTTCAACAATTTGCTTTCTGTAATAAAACACAATAAAAAGTGTGGATGGTAAGCTAAGATTCAAGTACACATTTGTATCTAACAAACTTAACACTCACCTCTATTAATACAACTTCACATAATTTCCCATGCCAACTTTTGGGGCTTTTTTGGGGATTACTGCAAGACTCGTGTCATGGAAACCAGATTCTTACAAGACTAAGGGAGATAAAGGCCTAAAACCAATAGTAACATCTAGTTCTGATGTTACTAGGACTGAAGGAAAAGGTGGCATTTGTGGCCTTGCTACTGTTTTGCTGTATTGTTATTACTAAGTCTGATACCATTTATTACTTGGTACGTATCAATTTGCCATATCTTTTCTTGACTGAAAGTGTTTCTTCTTTTAATGTGCAGTTAATTCTGATGCTTTAGAAACAGCTTGCCTTTTCTTCTACTTCTCAGCCTAAAATGAGACATACAGTCCTATGATAAATGTTAAGACCTGTGTGTAGATTTGTGAATGGAGTAAGTCTGCGAGGCATTAAGAACCTCTCATCTTACTGGGGATGTATTAAAGAACAAAATGAAACAGTATTAACAGGCATCAAGTAAACACAGTTTTTTCTAACTTGTTCTATTGTTGCTTAAACAACTGTTAGGTAATGTTAAAAATTTTTTTTCATTTTCCATTGAATTTCATGCTGAATTATTCTTTAAGGGTCTAATAGATTCTAGAAACACGTTTGATAATGATACAAGAAGTGGTAGCACATAAAATTCTAGAAACAATTGGATAACCGACTGAATTTCTTGGACTATTTGAATAGTTTAAAGGTTTTTTAATCACTTAACCTGAATACTATGCTTTTTTCATTTTAGGGAGGACATAAGCTTTGAAAAGAATACAACCAGTGAAAGACAGTAGTTACACTTAGGAGAAATTACCTGTATACCAACACTGTCCAAATCACTGCCATTAGAAAGATGCGATACCTTTTTGGTGCCAGCACACAGCCATGAATAAAGAAAGGCACATGGGTACCCAAGATGACTGGTAGTCCCTGAGTGAAGTACCAATG